ATCCACTCAATCCAATTGTGTTTCACACATTTGTATTTTACCGGAATGTTTCATCTATCTTGTTATTTCCATTTTGTATTTTGTAATTTGTATTTTGTCATTTGAATTTCTTTTATTGTTGATTTATTCAGTATAATTACTTACAACTGTACCATGTTCAGCGCTTTGGGCTTTCTGACAGGGTTGCGGAAGGCGCTTTATAAATAAAGCTTTGATTGATTGATTGATTGAGCAGGAAGGACTTATTGTTAACAGAGCGGGTATTTAATAGGGTCATGCTGAGTGAGGTGGAGGAAACAGAAACTACAGAAACAGCTGGAGATAGTGGACGTAAATTAGCAGGGTTAGATCCACGGTGTTTCTAAAAACCACTTATGGAGGGAACAGGAGGAGAAGCCACTGAAGAATGAGGATAAACCGACCTTAAAAAACTTGGACGGATGAACCGCGCTGCAACGCGGCCTGGCGGGAATGCGGAAGTGGCACTCAAGTCGCCAAACAAAGGACAAGAAGCTAGAAGATCACGCCGATGTTTACTAGATAAACCAAGCTTTAAGAGAAGTCTTATTCTCACCTGAATTCCTGCTCGTTTACCTCTTTTCCTCCGATGTTTTCCCGGGACCGGGTAAACATCACTGGAGGTGCCCTGGTTGGAATCGTCGTTTGGCTCCGGGCCAGTGCGCCACTCAGATAAACAAACAGGGAGGTATGTCCTCGGTGCATCTTGGGCGATCGTGAACTCACAGAAGGACAAAAGAGTCTGGTGATCATAGGAGATGGTAGCAGGGACACTACTGAAGAGGATCACAGACAGGAGCAAGGTGGAAAAGAGGAGGTTAGTGAAGAAAAGTTTGAAAAAGTGGCCGCTGACCAAGCCAAGCCAAGCACAGGCGCCATCTTGTTACCGACCGGAAGCGGAAGTGCTGGAGCAACGTGTCAGTATGTGGAACGTCTCCCTGTGACGGCGTGCAATTCAGCTCTCATCCCAGAGGAGAATGTAAGTCCTCTGAGCCAACCAAAATACTTTGGCGTGCATGTGTTAAGTCCTTGAGACCTAAAACTAAGGGAAAACAAATCTTTGCTTTCTTTAGAGTTTTCTGAATTGTGTCCTGTGTCCTGTTCGAAGAGTCATTCACACCACTGTCAAGTGAGTGATTTCTGTTACAGATTATTTCTTGTACAGGATTCTTTTTTATGTTTGAATTGATTGGGTGCTTAATGTAAACATATTTGTTTTGTGTCATAGCTCCTTATCCATGGCTGTCTAAACTACAAAGGAAATAATCAATCAATCAATCAATCAATCAAAGCTTTATTTATAAAGCGCCTTCCGCAACCCTGTCAGGAAGCCCAAAGCGCTGAACATGGTACAGTTGTAAGTAATTATACTGAATAAATCAACAATAAAAGAAATTCAAATTACAAAATACAAATTACAAAATACAAAATGGAAATAACAAGATAGATGAAACATTCCGGTAAAATACAAATGTGTGAAACACAATTGGATTGAGTGGATGGATTGAGTGTACCAATGAAAACTGTGGAATGGATTCAACATAATAGAGGGCCATAATCAAACATGTTCTGGAAACGCCAAGCGGAGGAGGTGTGTTTTTAGGTGATTCTTAAAGACTGGCAGAGAAGGGGACAGCCTAACTGAGGGTGGCAACTGGTTCCAGAGTAACGGTGCTAGGACTGAGAAAGCCCGGTCCCCACGGGTACGACACCTAGACCGAGGGACGGCGAGCAGGCCTTGGTCAGAGGAGCGCAGAGCGCGTGATGGGGAATGTCTGTTCAGGAGTGTGGCCAGATAGGGGGGAGCACCACCCTGGAAGAAATGATAAACAAAGACGAGTATTTTGAATTGTGAGCGATAGGAAATCGGAAGCCAGTGCAGGGAGGCCAGAACTGGACTGATGTGGTCCCGTTTCCTGGTCCCAGTCAGGAACCTGGCAGCGCTGTTCTGCACAACCTGTAGGCGACACAGTGTTGACTGACACAACCCTGCGTAGAGAGAGCTGCAGTAGTCAAGCCGAGAAATTACAAAGGCATGCAGTACCCGCTCCAGGTGGGCTCTCGACAGCATATGCTTGATTTTAGCAAGGCGTCTCAGGTGAAAGAAACTGGACCGGATCACAGAATTGATGTGAGCATCAAATTTAAGTCCTACATCAAGTTTCACCCCCAAACTGGTAACAACTGGTTTTGAGTATGGAGAAAGAGGGCCAAGATCAGCATAACGATCCACATTCCTGCTGTTGGGGTGAAAAACAATGAGCTCTGTCTTTCCCTCATTCAGATGTAGATAGTTGGACATTAGCCAAGACTTCACCTCATTAACACAGGAGACAAAGGACTGAATAGAGTGACCTTTCTCCTGACACAATGGAGAGTAAATCTGGCAATCGTCAGCATACAGATGGAATGATAGGCCATGTTTACCAAAGATTGACCCCAGAGGTAGCAGATAAATGGCAAACAAAAGTGGACCAAGGATCGATCCCTGCGGGACCCCCCACCGGAGCCCCTCCCAAGAAGAAAAAACATCACCCAGTTTAACACAGAATGTCCTGTTTTGGAGATACGATCTAAACCAGTCCAGAGCTGACCCTTTGATCCCAACCCATCGTTCCAAGCGATCGAGTAGAATCACGTGGTCAACTGTGTCGAAGGCTGCTGTCAGGTCTAATAACAGAAGCAGCACAGATGTTCCCTGATCTAGTGATAGATAGATGTCATTTAGGACCCTCAGTAGAGCAGACTCTGTGCTATGGCCAGACCTGAACCCTGATTGGAAAACCTCAAACAGATCAGACTCAGCTAAATGTGAGACCAGCTGCTGATAAACGACTTTCTCAAGCAGTTTAGATGTAAAGGGCAGGGTAGAGATAGGCCTGTAATTTTCGATCACAGAGACATCAGCACCAGGTTTCTTCAGGGTCGGCCGAATAACTGCTGCTTTCAAAGCAGCTGGGACCACACCTGTGCTGAGGCTCCCATTGATAATCTGACCAAGTGAAGGGCCAAGGCACGGAAAGGCAGCCTTCCAGAGACGAGGCGGTAGAATATCAAGTGGAGAGCCAGATGGCTTCTGCCTCGCAACTAGCTTACTCAGCTCAGAGTATGAAACTGTATTGAGGGAGCTCAGGGTGGGTGGTAATGGAGGAACTGGAACAGGGTCAACAGAGTTACCAGAAATGACTGCTCTAATGCCCGACACTTTATCAACAAAGAATTTGTGAAAAGCTTCAGAGTTTCCAGCAGCTGTAGGAGACATGGTGCTAGGCTCCTGATACACCATAACTGAGTTTAGCATTTTGAAGAGAATCTTAGGATTATTGGAGTTTGTCTCAATGATGTCTGCAAAATAGGCCATTCTGGCGGCCCTCACTGCATCCTGATAAGCAACCAGAGATGCTCTGAACAACTCACGCGAGACCTGTAGGCCATCCTTTTTCCACTTTCTCTCAGAGGATCTACACGCCCGCCTACAAGCCCGTGTGACATCAGAGAGCCAAGGCTCCCTCCTAGGCCGAGACTTGCAAAGCAGTTATAAGAAGATAAAAAAGGAAATTAAAATGGAGCTACAACAAAATCAAAGTCAAGACTGCTGATTTGTCTTCATGGACTGCTGAATTTCATATTCTGTTGGTTGCCTTCACTTTTTACAGAAATGAAGGGTGTATACTAATTAATTTTAAGTATATGTCCTTGTGTGATGGAGGAAAAACTGGGTACAAAGCAAATTTCTTAACACTGACTCACAATAATCCTATAAGTCAGGAGGGAGACCTGACTGGCACCCCATAATGCCAACTAAACCAACCCAGGAGTGAAACCATTACAAATAAATTACTAAATGTTAATTGCATTGCAATTTGTTACTGCTTTGATTGAAGCAGGCATGTTTCGTTCAAGCTATTTTTATTAAGGCATGTTGATTTACAAAAGATAATAAATGGACCTTTGTCTCATTGATTTTTTCTTTGTGTGGTCCTTTCAAACTTGTATTTGAGTACCCCTGTTCTAGGAGAGGTGGCAGTACGGTTTATGTTCAGGTTGTTCAGTAAGATCTTGATAAATCAGAAGATGTCTGAGAAATGGAGGATGCTAGGCTAAGGTCAGTTGTAAGCATTTGTGAGCAGCAATATGGTTTCATGCCATACTATGACAGGGTAGGCCTACCGAGAGAGAAGCTGTGGTGTTGCATGATAGACAGAGAAGTATAATAGAGTGGTGCAGAACATGTGTACTAAATCAAGAATCGGCTCTAAGCCCCTTCTTATGAGGGTAGATGATGCAGAAGACAGGAAATAATGGAGACTGGTGATTGTCTGTGGAGACTTGCAGGGAAAAGACAGAAGAAGAAGACTGGTTAAAAAGCGTCACCCCCTACCAGAGTATTACTCCACTCCCACTTCCTGTTTGAACAATGCAACAAATGCTGTTGCCTAGCAGACAGAGAGGACGGAGCTGCTAACAAATACACACACACAGGCTCACAACGACATTGTGACATCATATGGTACCAGCTAACGTTCTAAATCTGCCATCCCTTAGCCAATAGCGATGGCAGATTTAAATTCAAATGCAGTGCAGAGTTTTTACCTGACAACGGCACAACACTGACAGTTTTAGGCAGAACATTTAAATTTTAAATAAAATGCACTAAAGTGCCAAACCATTGACTGCATGTGTCTGCAGCACGATTAGACACGCATTTATATAGTTTATCAGAAACAAAAAGTTGATTTGGGGGTTACTTGCTCTTTAAAAACACCATCTGCTCCAAGATCAGAGAAAACACACCCATTCTGCCTAACCAACTTATTTTATGTTGAACAAGAAAGTTTTGACCTAAATGAAGCTGAACAAAAATGAAACTTTACTCAAATTTTAAACATGATGCTCACTTTTACATACGTTGTTGGTTTTGTTGTTATTCATAAATCATTTCCAGCAGATGTGATGAAACATTTGTTATGCCCATCCTTTAGGTGTCTGATTAGCCATCTGGAGGTGCAGGGTTTCATTGAGAGGTGTGCGATGATGGTGGGGGCCAGACCACATCACGCTCGCAGCCTGGCTGAGGTGCTGGTAGAAGCAGACAGCAGGGGTCACTACAGTCATGGACTCAACAGGATGGGTCAGTTTATCACTCATTCTGCATTTTCAACATCTGTCATTATTAAAAAAATGTTTCAGTCAATGTCACTAAATGTTACTCCTTCACAATGTAGAACGAGATAAGGCTAACTACATTTATTTATATTAACTACACTGATACAAGTGATAATAAAACAGCCAACAGAAATAACAAGCTGAGTTTTCTTTTCAATAGAATTTATGAAGGTTTTGGCAGTTTTATTAGAACCATTAGGGCAGTAACACCCCCCCCCCCCCCCCCGACTCTGACAGAACCCTGCCCTCGTCTCCCAATGATTGGACAGGAATTCGAGAAACGTGATTGGTAGCTAAGACTCGTGCTCTCATTGGTTCCACCCAAGTTCCTCCCACTGACACTAGAATCTAGACAAAAAGATCCGTAACTGTAGATTTGAGTTTTGTACCTGTAGAATGAAATGTGTGTTTTGAGAGTTTTGATTTCAAACTTGTACCTTGATTTTTTCAATTTGGAAGTCTGCTAGTTACAAAACGAAACTTTCATGTTTCTGAATGAATGTTTGATGTTACAAAATGAGTAGTAAATGTACAAAATAAAAGTTTGATTTTACAAAATAAAAAATACATGTACAAAATACAACGTTCCTGTTACAAAACAAGAAATACAAGTACAAATTGAGAATTACAAGTTAGAAAACTAAAGTTACAAGTTACGAATCCAAAGTTACAAGTTACGAATCCAAAGTTACATGTGATGAAACATGTTCGAAGTTACAAAACTTGGTACAAGTTACGCTGAATATTGTCCCAATCCTAGCTCCATACACATTCTACACATGGGGTCTGTTCCATCTTTCATGATCTTGTTGACAGGCTCTGGTCTTGTGCTGCTATCAACAATCCTTCAGTTTCTGCCTTCAGTCCTGCACTGCGTAGCCACTGATGAGTATGATCTTGTTCTACGTCTGCTTTTTTTACTCTCAAGGGGTATTGTCCATGCATTGGTTTTTCCTCCCATGTTTCTCTCATCCTCTTTTGGGCCCATTTCTTTGCCTCCCTTTTGGTCCTGTTGGCAAAGCTTGTTACTGTTTCTTTCTCTTTTCTTGCCACATCTGGTATGTTTAGTTCCTGTGCATATCTTATAGCTTCTTTTGTAACAGAGTACAGCTTCTTTCGAGCTTCATGTTGACAAACGAGGATCAGTTGGGCATCGTCTGTTGTTTCAAGGTAGGTTTTCAATGCCATTGTTGTTGTTCTGTAAGCCATCTCAAGTTGGGTAAGTCCTCTGCCTCCAGTCTGTCTTGGTAGATACATTCTTTCAACATCCGCTTTTGGGTGGTGCATTCTTTCAGAAGTCAGCAATTTTCTGGTCTTGGTGTCTAGTTTCTTTACTTCTTTAAGCTGCCAGTTGATGATATTAAAACTGTTTGTAACCGTTGGAACAGCTAAAATGTTGATGGCTTTGATCTTATTTGCAGCATTAAGTTCACTCTTGATAACAAGCCTAACTCTTCTGTAGTACTCTTTTTTGACTTTTTCTTTCATGGTAGCATGTTGTATTCCATCTCCTTCATTGACCCCAAGATATTTGTATGTCTCCTCTTGATTGAGCTCCATTGTGACAGTCTCTTGGTCCAATTGTATGTTTGATGTTGATGTGAGTTTTCCCTTTTTGAATGTAGCCTTTGAATGTAGCCTTTGCACATTTGTCAAGTCCAAATTGCATGCAGATGTCATCACTGAAGAGCTTGACTATTTAAAGTAGTCCCTCTTGTTGGTTATCATTTTTGGCATAGGTCTTCAGGTCATCCATGTAAAAAAGGTGGTTGATCTTCTTACCTTGAACCTCATATCTATGTTCACTGTTTAGCATGGTGCTGAATGGGGCTAGACATAGACAGAAAAGGAGAGGTGATAGTGAGTCTCCTTGAAAGATACCACACCTCACTTTTATTGCTCTTGTCTTGATGGATCCTTCCTCATAAGTGAGCATCATAGTGGTCCTCCATGATTCCACACTTGCCTTCATGAAGGTGATGAGAGTTGGTGAGATTCTATGAAGTTCCATTACTTTGATGATCCATGAGTGTGGTACGCTGTTGCAGGCTTTCCTGTAGTCTATCCATGCTGTACTCAGGTTTTTCTTCTTCCCCTTGCTGTCTTCCAGTATCTTCTTGTTGATCAGGAGTTGGTCTTTGCTTCCATAACTACCTCTCTTACAACCGTTTTGTTCTGGTGGTAGCATGTTGTTGTTGTCGAGGAAGGTGTATGTTCTCTCTGTGATGATACTTGTGAGGATCTTGTACATCGTTGGTAAGCATGTGATTGGTCTGTAGTTCTTAGGGTTTTTTGTGTCATTGTTCTTGGGTAGCAGATATGTTAGACCCTGTGTTAGCTAGGTTGGGCACTTTATTGGTGTTTTAATGATTTCTGTGTATTCTCTTGCAAGATTTTCATGTATCACTTCAAGATGTTTAAGCCAGAAGTTATGTACTTTGTCTTCTCCAGGTGACTTCCAATTTTTTGCTTTCTTTAGTGCCAGTATTACTTCTGTCTTGTTGATGTTTGTCCACTCCTGTACTGGTCGGCTCTTCAATCTTTCTGCTTCTTCTTTGATCCATTGTGCTGTCTCATTGTGGTTTTTCTCTTTTTCCAAAATATTGCTCCAGAACTCTTCTACTTTTTCCAGAGATGGTAGTTCTTTGATTTCTATCTGTTTCTTGCCAAGTTCTCTGTAGAACGTCTTTGGGTCAACTTTGAAAACATGGTTGTGTCTGAAGTGTTAACTTCTCTTTTCATATCTTCTGATTCTTTGTGCCTTGGCCTGTATCTGTTGTTTGAGCTTTTCTTTTGCTTCCACAGTGTCAGTTGTGTCCAAGATTTTATACCTCTTCTTCATTTGCCTCTTTTTTCTTTTATTAGTAATGTTACCTTTTTCAATTTCTGTGAGTAGAGAGAGATCTTTTCTCTTGAGAATGTCCTTCTCGATGTCTGTCTTCCATTTGGGCTGTTTTCTTTTTCCTTGTTTTTTATTTTCTTGGCACAACTCAGGTCTGTGATTACTGTAGCTGCTGCATAACATATTTCATTAATTGATGTGAGGTCCATTGGTTTAGATTAGTCTTGTTTGATGTGTTGTATTGCTCTGTTGGCTAGGCTTATGAGGTTCTTGATATTTTTGTTGCCATATATCTTATGCAGCTTGTCTTGATTCTCCAGCCCTTGGAGTTTTACTTCCATCCATTTCTGGAGTATGCTGTCTCAGACTTTTTCAAAGTCTGTGTGTTCTTCATATGTTCTGTCGGTACCCTCTTCAGTCACTCCATCAGCTTCTTGCTGTTGAGGTTGGTCTTCTCCATTCCTGATTTTATCTTCCTGTTCTTCATGTCTGCCGTCTTCCACTGTGTTTGTATTTTCTTCTACAGTATGTTTGACCTTTCTCCTAACGCCGGGGACACACTGGCCGCGGAAGCGCCGCGAAAATGGGACCGCCTTCATTCGGCGCCCTTGTTAAGCTATTCTATAGACCACATGGGCCGCCGAAGTGCCGCGAATCGCCTCGCGCTGGCGTGCGACGGTGCTCCAGCTCGTGCCGTACAGCGATCATTTCGGCGTCTGCTCTATTTTTTTCGTGAGCCGCGGATGAATCGCGTCAATTCTAGCAGGAAGTCAAACCTAGACATAAGAGGCAGGCTGGTAAAGTTAACAAAATAAAGCATTTCAAAATAAAATTACGCAATCAAATGTGTTCGTAATCAGACACTGCAGAAAAACCACACGAACACACACACATACACACATCGAACTTGTGTGCGTGTGTGACCGCGTGAAGGGGTGTGTGGTTTTGGGTGTCTTTTCACGGAGCAAACAGGACAGAGAGGCAGAAAGTCTGAGGCAAGCAGTTAAGATGTATGACTTTAAATTAATTATGGAAGTTGAGAAACACAAGGAGCTGTACGACCCCCGAAAAACATGATTATTTACGTACCCATTTCTGAAGAAACTGCTGGGATACAGCTGCAGAATTGGAGCGGGTTCCAAGAGATTCAACTGGCAGAAATATAGGTTCACACACACACACACACACACACACACACACACACACACACACACACACACACACACACACACACACACACACACACACACACACACACACACACACACACACACACACACACAGTGTGTCCACGTTCAAGGAAAATATTTATTTATAATATTATTTCACACACACGTACGCGCGCGCGCACAAACACTCAAACGTAGAGGAAAAGAGCTGAGAAAAGGCAGAGAGGAAATGGAGGACACCAAGTGTTTAAAAGAAAAACTACAGCTGAGCCGAGGCGCGCCTTGACTGGGGCGCGTCTGATCTGAACTGAGGAGCGGCGACCAGCGGCCGAATTTCGTGAGCGATTCGCTTCTCGGCGCTTCGCGGCGCTTCGCGGCGCTTCCGCGGCCGGTGTGTCCCCGGCGTAATAGCTTCCACCTTTGCATCTGTAAGTCTTTTCTGTTTGATGATGTCCCTTCTTACATTGGACAGTTTGTTGGGGTCCATGTTGGGTCTTGATGTGGGGTTTGCATTTCTCCATAGAGTAAAGGTTTGTTTAGTGTTGCTCTCTCCCCATGGTTTTAGTTGAGCTGTGATGTACTCTTCCATAACTTTTTTATACTCCTCCCTTGTCCATTTCTTCCTTTTACTTTCGTTTTCATTTGTGGTAAGTTTTACATCATGGGCGGCTGGTTGAAGGATCACTTCGGGTAGCTGGTCCACAGATGCCTGGGGGTGGGTGGAGTTTGTTCCAGTTGCACACTTTTTGCCATCAGCCTGGTCCCCTGCTGACGCGCTCCTTGTTGACCCGCGCGACGAGCGATGCGGTATGGTTTTCTGATTGTTTGACTCATCATAGTGAAATGTTGTCAGAGCCCCCTTAGCCGAGACATGACTGGCTTGTCATGCCTACGTTGCCCATCCTGCACCACGTGGAGGTGGGGATTGAACTTTGCAGGACTTATTATTATTATTATTGTTATTATTATTATTATTATTATTATTACCGTAAATCCTCTAATACAGGCCCGGGCCTGTATTTGACTCAAGCTCATCAAGCTCCAGGCCTTTATTGGAAGGAGGACCAGAATTAGAGACAGGCCTCAATTTCTATTTGAGCAAAATGAACTAATGGTTCGCTGGAGTTTTTGACAATTAAAATTGCGCCCACATTTTCAAAGTTAAACACATTTCTTTTAACAACGGTAGTTTCTGCTTCAGCCCTCTCCCCCTCCCCCTGCGCAGCGGCCGCAAACTCACTGATGCGCCTGCAGCCTCTCGGAGTTCCTGCTGCTCTAAACATTAAAATAATTATTTCATTTTCTGTTCCTCACTTCTGATTACCTTCAATGGTGTCTGTTTGTTGCAACCACCAGGTACAAAAACTAACTTGTTTTTATTTGACTATTTTTCTGTCCTGCCTGTTTATTATCTTCCTGCATCTCCTCTCAATCCTAAAGAAAAACTGCTACCTGGGTTCATATATATTCACCTTATGAGTTACCTTTGAACTGCAGTTCTAAAAGATCTACCGACCGCAAAAACAGCGGAGTGCGCGCCGGCCACATCAGTTAGGTGCGTCACCGAGGACAAAACAGGTGATGCGCCCCGATCCACAGCAGCGAAACGCATCAGGCACACATAAAAGAATAAAAGACAGAAAACATAAAAGGAAACGAGCTGACATGAACGATCGCATGTTAAATTAGTTTTTGAGGTGGCGACACCTGATTTGATAATGTTACTGTGGCCGTGCTCAGGACGCAGATGTCTGGAGCGCGTTAACAATCAGAGCTTTGCATGCACAAGCTGGTTAAGGTTAAGATGGGGGTGAGGGGAAGGTTAAATTGCAAGAGGGTAAACGTCACAATTTGGTTAAATGTCCATTTCACAGCGGGTGTCAGTATCGACGCTCTGGCACAGCGCGTCGCCTCTCAACGCGCAGGAGCTTGTCACCTGCTGACAGCAGGCTGCTGTCTTTTCCGTGGACTGCATCTTGCCGGTCATTATCACGTGACAGCGACTAATCGATGACAGGCATAAAAAGTCACTATAGAGCGGTGAAGTCGACTAGTGACTAGTTCATACAACCCCTGCTACTGCTCCCCAGAGTGTTCTGCAGCATAATCAGCACGTTCTCTTTGAACTTGATATCAAATTTTCGCCTCCTCTTTGTCTCCGCACAGTTAAAGTTACCCTCGTGGTCTATCACTGTCAAATCAAAAGTGAGACGGATGACACAACTGCCCCCCTGTGGTACTTGCTTGTTACCACATTCCACCCGGCCACAATAAAAAACCGGCCATTATTCACCTCCGCCGACTCCGACACCGGCCAAAATATGATACCCAGCAGTTAATTAAATACAGGCTAATATTAGAGGATTTACGGTATTATTATTATTATCATCACTATAATATAATTAACAAATACATACAAACGTATTTTAATCAAAACTTCACTGAGAAATAAAATTAAAAGGCAGGCTCAATAGATTTGGAGTATAACTTTGTCAATTTGAAATGAAAGCATCCTCTCTGAAACACACACACACACACACACACACACACACACACACACACACACACACACACACACACACACACACACACGCACGCACACACACATACACACACACAGCCCTTTTCCGCTAACACCTACTTAGAGTGTCTGGTCTCAGCTCCACATTACTCACACCGGGGTTTTCCAACAGCATTACACAGCATGACCCTGATGGATGCATTTTGGTTGCACAGCCTTTTCCAACAGTACAATTGGTTGTTGTTATCTCTGTCCTGTTACTTTGGTTGCAGACATGTATGTGAAGGACATCCAGGCAGGAATCTGTGCAGTCAATGGTGAGCCTGTGGTGGACAAAGAAAATGCAGCCACAGCCCTGGTGAATGGAAATAACTTACTGGGCCCGGTGGTGGCAAACTTCTGCATGAACCTGGCCATAAGGAAAGCCAGAGAGGCTGGCATTGGCTGGGTGGTGGCACATGGTAAGCCTCGAATCTTCTCTGAGCAATGATGAACATGTTACCCCTACTGCCCACTGAAAGCATCAGCAGCGCGGAACGGCAGCGGAAAGGTTTACTTGAGACAATCACCGCACTCCAGTGCACACTGGGAGAGTCTCAGCCACAAAAAGGCTTCTCAGCTGTGTTCCTCGTTCGACTCACAAGATCACAAAATCCCTCGAGACTTTCGCCAACCTCCCCACTTAACTCGCGAGATCACAAAACCCCTCGAGTATATGCCGCCATTAAACCAGAAAGAAGGAAATCACGTTTGTTATTGCTCTTGGATGTAATATATGATGCTGTTCCTCTCCACTGCCAGGATGAATGCAATGAAAACACGCCGCTGCACCTCTGGAACGATGCAGGTAGTAAATAAGCCGTTAAGCCACTTGTATTGACGTAATCTACATAGATATGAAGTTGCATCGCTAGCACAGACTTTTATTTTGAAAATTACTTGGTGGTTTTATACTGAAACCGTGTGATTTCCTGTCTAGTCCCATGTTAACCGTGGGAATTGTCACGTCCCAGAAGTGGCTCAAGGCAAAAACATAACCCGATTCTATCTTTAGCAGTGCGACGTGCCGCTTCTAGGACGTGCCCAGAGCGCTGCGTATTTCTGCTCATGAGTTTGCAAAAAACAACCAAAATGTGCAAATAAGAAAAGTGTTTTCATTCAGAGACAGATGCTGCGTCGTTCTGATCTGCAGCTCACAGGGCTTCACACGCTAGAATAAATGTCATCACGTTGTCAACGTGAACTGTCACATGATTATCACTCACCCAATCGCCTGCTTTGACGTCATTTTCCTGCAAGTTGTAGTTCTTTGTAGTCCCAGTCTTTCGACGTTTTCTTGTACTTTTTTGCAATAATAAAGACAAACACATCCTACACACATCACACACCCACTACAAACTCCCGACACACACACACACCACTGCGAACGTTTTGATGACTCGCAGACCCGCCAAACGGTACACCCTCCCTCCTTGAAGCGGTTGATGCCATTACAGCGCCGGGTGATGTTTTTCAGTTTCTGTTTCCTCACGTATACATTCATGCAATATTCTTTATTATTGTTATTATTATTAGTGAGAGACAAGGAAAACTATATACTACTACAAAATTAGAGACAAAAATTCAACATTATTATATTAGACTGCTGCTGATTATGATTATAAATGTTTTTGTTTTTGTTAGTTTATATAAATGAGTGTATCTCAGAAACTACTTTATGGAAGCACTTCAACCAAATTTCTTGTTGTTTGAAAGGATTGTGTGCAACTCTTTTTTTCATTGACAATTTTGAGGGATAAAGGTGTGACATTTCTGTACAATGAAAAATATGTGCAAAAACAAAAAGATTTTCTATGTCTGTATGGATCATTGCATTTTTTAGTAAATATTTAGTCGCTATGAAAATTTTACATTTATATTATTAAAATTTAGAATTTAAGGGTTGTATTGATGTATGGCAAGTTAAAATACTCCACAAAATGGCACCACAGCATGGAAAAATGTAAATATAAGTTCTGGCGAACTTGCTCCATGGCAGGTCTTATGGGTTAAAAGCTGTTTTGCTATCCTAATGAGGATGACAGAAATGTTTTAATAACTACGTTGTGTTTATTTTAAAAGGAAGTTCATGATGAAAATATAAGCCAGAGTTAATGAGGTGTTTTTAGATCATTACATTTTTCTGCTTCTGTTTTAGGTTCAAATCATTTTGGCATTGCTGGATATTATGCAATGAAGGCACTGAAGGAAAACATGATAGTGAGTGAAGCCTTTATTTATTGATTCATTCTCTTTTATCCTAATATTAGCAAAGTAAGTGTTTTACATCATTTCTATCTCCACAGGGTATGTCTTTTACCAACACATCCCCCCTGGTGGTCCCAACTCGTGGTAAAGAGGTAAATATTCACCCTGTAAAATAAACCTTTCTCTACGGACTGCTTAAAAAAGTCAAAAGAACCATTTCAATCTGAGTCTAATACTATATATTGTACCAAGTCAGTTTAATCTCTGGCATACTGATTTGGTCAGTTTGGTAGTGGTGATTATTTTTAAAGTAGTGTCAGCTTTTTAGTGAGAGTGAAATGAAACACAGGTGCACTACAGGGGCAACAACAGGTCTAAAACAGGACTGGTTTTGCAGGTAGAGGCTGGTTTCCAGGCGGTTAAAAGCAAATCATAGCATAAACGACTGGCACTTGTACATCGCATCTCAGAGCCAGAGGATTCTAAAGTACTTAACACTACAGCAGTGGTCCTCAGTAGGCGGCCAGCGGGTCGTGTCCGGACCCCCTCTTCGTGGTCCCCAAACCCCACGCGCACCCAGGGCGAACGGGAGGTGTGCTGCCACTTAGAAGGCTGGTGTAATGAACCGCCAGCAGCGCTAAGCAAAAACAGTATAACACAAAATAGTAAATACACTATTGTTTATGAAAGACGTGACTGCAGTAGTGGCAGTACATCCAGAAAAGTGCTACGCCTCGTTATTCTCCCAGGGAATTGCTTTGCAACACTCCCCAGGTAACAGAGACCATTGTCTTCATCAACGTGTTCGCCCGGCTCTGCATCTGAGCTGACATAGATGTATAAACTAGGCTTCTTTTTTCTTGTAAAAGCCTTTCTTGTTCTAATCTTGTGGGGTTTGCGTCTGCAGCGCACTTTGGGCACCAACCCACTGAGTGTGGCCGCTCCTGGTAAAGATGGAGACAGCTTTGTTCTAGATACGGCCACTTCAGCAGTAGCGCTGGGAAAGGTAACATCCATTCTCTGATCTTTATGTTTTTTTTGAGAAAGCAAAGTTATGAAAGTTATTTGATTAATAATTACTTTGTTAACAACATTGTTCAGCATTTTATTGTATTGGTAGAATATGGCAAAGTCACTGAAAGTGAACTGATTTGTAAACATCTAAATCTGTAATGATGTAAAATGTCTGTAACTTGCAAAAGGTGGAGCTGAATGAGCGGCGTGGGGACAAAATCCCTGATGGCTGGGGCTGTGACCCTCAGGGTCATTTAACTACTGATCCAAAGAGGGTTCTGTCTGGAGGAGGACTGGTACCTGTTGGGGGCAGTGAGGCAACAGGTCTCTTATTTCATTTGGAGTTTTACATCTGGGCAATATCTTTTGTTTTGTGCTGAGATAATTTATCATCATGCCCTGTTGAAACAAAATTATTATTATTATTATTATTATTATGTTAGCTATGCTGTTTGCACAGAACTGTGATCCCTTTACCAGTGGAAAACTCACTCTTACTTAGATAAAAGTAGCAAATACATTTTAGAAATCATTACATTCTCTTTTTTATTTATTTTTTTATTTGAAACACATAAAATTTCAACAAAACAAATACAGGGAATGAAAAAAACAAGACTAAGAGGTTTGAACAAAATGGTCTGTAAAACATAGACAAAAGGTGGCAGAAAGTAGCACCACCTTATCCAGGCCCACCCTTATATGTATTAAAAATGTTTTTGATAAAATGGTACTTCTACATATACACACACGTAAACATTCATGTACACACATAAACACCTTTACACATCTATATCCCTAAATGCATGGATGTACACAGACACTAAATACAGAGCTTGTTCTATTTAGCACCACTATTTTGTGCTTTAACAGTCGTAGGCAGCAGCCAACATTTGGCTTGAATAATTTTGGGGGAAGATTGCAGATATGGAAAGTTTTGAGTCTTGTTGCCTTCAGGAGGATACAAAGGCTACGGTCTGGGGATGATGGTGGAGGTGTTCTGTGGCATCTTGGCTGGAGCTCACTACAGCAAATACATCCGTACATGGAAAGTGACTGACCGCGTTGCCGACCTGGTACACCCTTTTTAAATGTTTCTTTCTTCTTCTTCTGCATCGGCCTTCCAGTTTCAGTAGAAAACAAAGTCTATGAGTAGGGATGCACCAATAATGGTACTGCGTCAGGTATTGGTACTGGTAAAGGTTAACCGATACCAGGAACCGATACCAATGCAGTTGCTTGAAAGTGGCTTCACTGTAACGTTTCATTATTGTTCACCTAATAGTTTAGTTATGTGATCATTTCTATTGATATATTTTACTTTTTATCTACCTCACAGTCTTTTCCTGTTGAAAGCAGAGAAGAAAATAAAACCTGTATTTCAATTAATTGCGGTTTTTTTTTGTGTGGTAGAAGTATCGGTATTGGTAATCGGTATTGGCGAGTACTCAGGTCCAAGTATCAGTATCGTATCAGCTTGGAAAAAAGTGGTATGGTTGCATCCCTATCTATGAGGTTTTTCTTTAATGTCATTGTAATATTGCAAATTCAGTTTCTTGTTCTACTATTAGAAGGGCTGAAACATGCGTAAAAAGTTAAATATAAAGTAAGGCAACGGTTCTATGAAAAACAGATCTGTAGTTGAACTAGTTGATTCGTAGAGCTTATCTTAGTTTAAATCTTTTAAGGACAAACACTAATATTCTGTTTCAGACACTGAAGCTTCTACTGTAGTCATCAGGAAGCTGGATCAGCTTTATTCCTTCTGGTACTTCATTCTTTGTCTTGTTTGGCTTTCAGGGTCAGTGTTTTGTGGCCATCAACCCAGAAAACTTTGCTTCAGGATTCAACGAGAGAATGTCAGACCTGCTCTCTATCCAGAGACACCAGAATCCTGTGAGTAGACTCCACTCATAGATTTGGATCTTCCAGTCAAGACATTTTATATGTCCTTGAAACAAATCCAAGGCATTCAGGATCAAGTACTTGCCAGCTCATATTCTCATTTGGATCCTTGAGTTTCTATTGACCCTTTGCACGTGTCATGTGATCGCCCCCTTCGCCCTGATGGATGGCAAAAAGACCGTTTACACCTGTTGAAACTCAAGTGAAGCTAGTCAAAACAAGCCAGTTTGTAGCCTTTTATCGCTTTTATTTAGTGGATTTGACAGTAAAATTGTTTTAGCTTGCTGTGTGGTCGGCTGCACTAACAGACAGACATAAACTCAACTCGTTTTTTATTTTTAATACCTTTGATGGAGACCGAGGACGGAGATGAATTGCATAGGTCAACCAATCAAGTGGACTAGCAGCCCTCAGATTTGCAGCAAACATGTTTTTAACTGGTAAGATTAACATTTATTTCACGAGGAAGACAGGGACAGGGATAAATGTATGTGTTTATACTAGTTATTGATAATCCTGATGGATGGGTATTTCACCACGGAGACTGCGTTCCGTCCACTGTAGTGTAAATCGAGAATATCGAGTTTTGTTTTTGTTTAACAATATTGTAACGGAATTGAAGTGATGTAACTATCTAGAGTTGTATTTTAATACACTGTAAGTAGATCACTTTTTATAATCAGAAGAATAGGCTGTTTTTATCATCAGGGAGTTTAATTAAACACTCTGTATTGACTTTGAGACAAGAAAAGAGAGAGAGATGGGATCGTTTGAGAATCTTTAATTTCTTAATAATAAATTCTAAACAATCTACCAGGACTAACTCTGTGATGGATGAAAATGGATTTGGATGTTGTGTTGGTGCGTGTGTGTGTGTGTGTGTGTGTGTGTGTGTGTGTGTGTGTGTGGTTGGTTCAGACTCCTTAGGCTGACGTCATTGAATCTGGTAGTCTTTGTTATGACTAGATATCACGAGGCTTATAAAGTGATAACATGAGCTGCTATTTTGCCGTGTACGTACCCAGTGGGGGGCCTCCCAGGTAGATCAGGAAATGCCAGGTCTGGAGGCCTCGGATGTGCGCTGGAGCTGTCGGAGCAGCAGTCGCAGCGTTTCAAAGCCCGTCTGAAGGGTCGACCCCGGTACCAATCGGCGGCGTCAGCAGGTGCTCTTATTTTGAAAGGATGTCGTCTGGTTGTTAAACGACGAAAATCTCCAACTTCACAGTTCTTAGTTTAAAGAAGAAAACACATATGGCCAGGCTGTGCTTTTCTTTAGGATGACGGTGAATAGAACTGAAGTCAAAATGGAACTGAGCTTAAAATGGCGTTGCCTTGTTTTATATCTCTGAATTGTTTTAAGTTTCAGGAAACGGGATTGGACACTTTAAAGAGCAAGTCACCCCCAAATCACATTTTTTTGCTGATAAAACTATATAAAGGAGTGTCTAATCATGCTACAGACACGTGTAGTCAATAATTTGGCAGTTCATTGCATCTTGGTTAAAATTAAAATATTCTGCCTAAAACTGTCAGTGTTGCACCGTCGTCAGGGAAAAATTCTGCACTGTATTTGAATTTAAATCTGCCACCGCTATTGGCTAAGAGGTATGCTATGATGTCATCTGGTATATTACGATGTCATAATGCCATTGTGAGCCTATGTGTGTGTGTATTTGTTAGCGGCTCCGCCCTCTCGGTCTGCCAAGCAACAGCATTTGTTGCATTTTTCAAACATGAAGTGGGAGTGAAGTAAGTTTCTTGTAGGGGGTGACTTGCTCTTTAAGTCAACAAGCCAGCAGATTCTCCTGCGGCAGCCGAAAGCTCTGATTGGTTGGAACAATGTGTCATGCGTTTCTATGGAGATGAGGATCAGTCTGTCTGTGCAATAGTCCTGTTTTCATTAAACATAAATCATGACATATTTATTTCACAGATCATTCACTTGATTATTGTTGATCAACATCTGTTTCGAATAGCTTTAATCACAAATTAAGTACTTTGATTAAGTAAAAGCGTTCTTCTCCTCCTTCTGGCTCTTCTCCTGGAATGTAAACAGTCTGAGGAACACCCGACCTTGGCTTTTCTACACGGGTGTTACTGTGCACAGGGGGCAGCTGTGTGGAGCTGAAAATGATGAACTTCATAACCTTACAATATTAAAGCTCCGATGTACAACTACGTGTGTTAAAATTACGTTATTTATTTATATGAGCGTCGGCGTTCAGAGATCTTCTCATTCCGGTGTGAGAGCAGCAGCTGATCCCGGTAACACCACCAGCAACAGAAGCTTAAAAAATCAGCTTTGGTGTAAAGTGAAACGCTGTTTATAACATAATGTTATAAATCCAGCGGGGTGAATTTAAGCAAAGTCAGCAACATGTTTACATCGGTGAACAGCTGCAGAGAGAACGTAAGCTAATGTTGGTAAGCTAGTTAGCATACCGCTCTCTATGAGCCCCCGTTAGATGCGCAACTCCTGATAACTGAACTGGGCATGAGTATCGCGTCAGACCCGTGCCACAACCCGTGCACGCGCATTGGGTCCATAGCGCGCGTGTGAACGGGACTCGCGAACGAAAATATACATGGCAGCGCGCGCGTGAACGGGACTCGCGAGCGAAAATATACATGGCGAGAGGTCATTTGTGCACTGAGAGGGAGCAAACTGTGTCTGTGAGCGCACAAGGATGTGCACAAGTGACAAACCTGCGTGCGCGCGTTGCCAACGAGCACACGGCAGAGGAAAACGTGCGCGCGCGGCAGCCTCTGCGCGCTCGGTTTCTAATTCCGCTCGCTCGGCTGTGAGGAGTTTTGGCACTCTGGAGGCGTGGTCTGTGGCAGATCTTCCCTGTCCTCTGATTGGTTAGTTTACCCCGCACTTTACTCTCTACCTATCTATATAAAAAAATCTGGGATTCAGCAGTTGCTGTCATAGCTCAGCTGGGAGAGCGGGTGACTCTCACTCAGGAGGATCCAGGTTCGAGTCTGGCCATGGAACATAGAGTGGATGTCATATTACTCTTTCCTAATTCCTGTGATATCATTTTACAGTTGTGACCGTTCAACTATCATTAAACGTCCGAATGTTTGCTGGGCAGTGTTTTAAAAAGTGCACATAAGCTAGATGGTTTTAACCAGGTAAAAATAGACTTGTGGGTGTAGGTATGATCAAGTTTAAAAAGTTCTTGCCTCATTAATGTATTGTTTATTTTTTTCAGCATTTAATTGACAAATTATCCTTTCAAATAATTAATTGATGAGTTACATAATTGTCCATTTAGAATTGTTGAATGGACTGAGTCAAGTTTGGTGCACTTTATATATTTCAAAACATGTTTTTTTTAATTATGCATATAAATAATTTTAATGTTAATTTATTTAAATATTTCTATTATTTCATTACCTCACCCTTGTTTTGACAAAAACAAGACCTTGCTGGATAATATCACGGAGAAACTATTTGTTCACAGTACTTGGCTCAGTGAGGATCTGTATACCAAACGAGGAGATACTCAGAAATCTGTCTGCAGATTGTTACAACCCAGACTGGAAGTGGTGGGCTGTAATAAGAAAGGAGACCAAACAGAGGAGTGGGGAGTTCAACAACTGATTTATTTAACCAAAGTAAGGATTTACTAAAGCAAGTTAGTGCAGTCAAGAATTACTGGTGTTTGGGTAGTCCTGAACTTGTTGTGATGCCCCCACCGTCTCATTGGGTTTTCATTTGTGTTTAATTGTGTTTTTCTTCTGTTGTAGGCAGCTCGTTAAGCAGCCTTGGAGGCACCTGGGCTCAGGGTGTGGTGCTGCCTACAAAGCCTACTGTTTTTCTGCTTTCACTGGGTCTCTCCTGTGTGGTGGAGAGTCCTCACTGGCCATTTTCTGTTCACTAACTTGCTTTAGTAAATCCTTACTTTTGTTAAATAAATCAGTTGTTGAACCCCCACTCCTCTGTTTGGTCTCCTTTCTTATTACAGCCCACCACTTCCAGTCTGGGTTGTAACAATCTGCAGACCGATTTCTGAGTATCTCCTCGTTTGGTATACAGATCCTCACTGAGCCATGTACTGTGAACAAATAGTTTCTCCATGATATTATCCAGCAAGGTCCCGTTTTTGTCAAAACAAGGGTGAGGTAATGAAAAAATAGAAATATTTCATTAAATTAACATTTAAATTATTTATATGCATCATTAAAAAAAACATGTTTTGAAATATATAAAGTGCACCAAACTTTACTCAGTCCATTCAACAATTCTAAATGGACAATTGTGTAACTCATCAATTAATTATTTGAAAGGATAATTTGTCAATTAAATACTGAAAAAAAAAATACATTAATGAGGCAAGAACTTTTCTCTCTCTCTCTCTCTCTCTCTCTCTCTCTCTCTCTCTCTCTCTGGAAGCCCCACTCTAAGGGAGTTTGCAGTGTATTAGTGAGTCATATATTGTACAACCACAGTCATAAAGTTTTCAATCAGTAGTTTTATTTCAGTATGTATTTTTCCAGTATCACAAAAAATGTAATTTTATATGGTTAAAACCATCTAGCTTATGTGCACTTTTTAAAACACTGCCCAGCAAACATTCGGACGTTTAATGACAGTTGAACGGTCACAACTGTAAAATACCTGAAATTAAGAAAAATTAACATGACATCTACTGCATTTTCCTTGCCCGGACTCAAACCTGTAACCTCCGGGGCGAGAGTCACCCGCTCTCCCAGCTGAGCTATGCCAGCAACTACTGAATATCAGACTTTTTTATATAGATAGAGGGTAAAGTGCGGGGTAAACTAACCAATCAGAGGACAGAGAAGATCTGCCACAGGCCACGCCTCCAGAGTGCCAAAAGCCCTTACAGCCGAGCGAGCAGGAGTCAGAAACCGAGCGCGCAGAGAGGCTTCCGAGCGCGCACAGAGGCTGCCGCGCGCGCACGTTTTCCTCTGCCGTGTGCTCGTTGACAACGCGCGCACGCAGGTTTGTCACTTGTGCACATCCTTGTGCGCTCACAGACACAGTTTGCTCCCTCTCAGTGCACAAATGACCTCTCGCCATGTATATTTCCGCTCGCGAGTCCCGTTCACACGCGCGCTGTGGACCCAATGCGCGTGCACGGGTTGTGGCACGCTTTAAACGCCATACATGAGCTAGTTGAAGGAATGCTGGAGGAGTTTTGTTTTTGTTTTGATCGCAAGAACAATTTCAGGCTCTACTTTTCCCTTTGTTTAGTAATCGTGTCGCTCACTGTTTACAGGCTTTTGCCGTCCACCATGGTGGACCCACGTGATTAGGTGACGTCAGTGCAAAGGGTCAATAGAAGACCGCATTGCAGTGAGACCTTATCTACAGATCAGAGTTTGCGTCATTCCTTTGAACGGGTGTCCTAACACCACCTGTCTGTTTTGATGTACCGTTAGGGTTAGGGTTGGTTAGGTACAACACGTTTACTTGTGAACACTCTTCATTGATTGGCATGCGTTAGACCCAGTGCAAATGTGTGATTACACACAACCAGGACCCATTAACACCTGCTGATGATATTAAAACAATGTTTAAAAACTCAATTTCAAATGTGTTTATGAATTCTATTGAAAACAGTGGTTGTGAAGGCAGCTCCTATCTGCTGACACTACGTGGCTGCTGATTATAGAGGGACACTGGCAGGTAGTGTTATGAGCTAGATGAAGGCATAAAAATTTATAATCCACCTTCAATACATGCATAATCTTTAAATTTGAATTTGGACCTTGGTGTTTCATTTGATTTTGGCCAATCAAGCATTCCAAGTTGTTTGCATGCCAGTGATCACCCTTCAGCAAAGACTTCACAAATGTGTTGTGGCAACAAGTCTTTCTTTGTTATAACTATACCACAAACTAAACTACCACACATACCTTTTAGTAACCAAGTAGATTGAGCCTTTTACAGAAAGATAATACGTATATGCAGCCTATACATCAGACACGAGTTTCTGTGTTGAAACTGCTCATTTATCTCAGTCACTTCTGGATTTATTGTCATTTAGCATTAACTCGATTTCTCTTTGACTTATTGTTTTATTTTATTACATTAGTACATTTTACCCAGCAGAGAAAACTCATTTTGGCTGCTTGTATTCACGATCTCGTTCGTTCGGTCACTACCCAAAGCTCCTGACCATCGATGAGGGTAGGAACGTAGATTGACCGGTAAATCAAGAGCTTTGCCTTCTGGCTCAGCTCTCTCTTCACCACGACAGATTGGTACAGCGCCTGCATCACAGCAGATGCAGCACCAATCCCCCTATCAATCTCATGCTCTATTTTTCCCTCACTTGTGAAAGGGACCCCAAGATACTTAAACTCCTCCACTTGGGGCAGGATCTCATCTCTAACCTAGAGGAGGTATTCTACCCTTTTCCCATTCAAGATTCTCTGCAGGGTGTCTGGGCTCTCCCTTAGAGATAGGATGAGAAGCTCAGATCTTCTGGGAGGGGCTCAGAGTAGATCTGCTGCTCCTCCACATTGAGAGGAGCCAGTTGAGGTGGCTCAGGCATCTCGTCAGGATGCCTCCTGGATGCCTCCCTGGTGAGATTTTTTGGACATATTCAATTGGGACGAGGCCCAAGGAAAGACCCAGGACAGGCTGGATGGACATCTCTCGGCTAGCCAGGGAACACCTTGAGATTCCCCCCGAAGAAGATGGCCCAAGTAGCTGGGGAGAGGGAAGTCTGGGCCTCTTGGCTTAAGCTGCTGCCCCTGCGACCCGATTCCAATAAGGCAGCTGAAAATTTGTGGGTGGGTGGGTGGGTGGATGGATGGATGGATGGATGGATGGTATATTTTGCAGACAAATATGTAGCTCATTGGCTACACATTTTATTAAAATGAATTAGGCTTGGATTGTTTACTGACTTACAATGTATTGATCCTTAAGAAACCATGTATGATGTTTCATGTTGTTATTGTTGCTGTGGTATGCAGGCTGATCCCCACTCTCCTGTTCTGGCTGCTGGAGATCCAGAGAGGGTCAACATAAAGAAGTGTGAGGAGATGGGAGGAATACCCTACCACATCAACATCATCAAATACATTGTAAGACCTAAAATAAATATCATCATCAACTTTGTTTCTACAGCAATGTCCATTGACCAGGAGATGAGCCAAAGTGCTTTGCACACATAAAATAAATTTAAACATCAATGACCCCTGTCAACAAAGATATACATAAAACAAATAAAAGCAGGAGATGTAGATAAAACAACAGGGTGAAAGATAGCTGAATTATCTAAAAATAAGCTAAAACACATGCTGAGGAAGCGTCCCAGTAAAAAAGTGAGTCTTCATCTAACTCTTCAAAACCAGCAGTGAAGATTGGTATTGGCCCAAATCCAAATCCAAACCCTGGGTCCCCTGCTTAAAAGTCGGGTGCCTTACTACTTGAGCTATCCAGCCGCTATTTAGACTGATTCAAGTGTTTACTTTTTCTTTTCTCATGAAGATTCAAATGACTGTTTCTTGACTTCTTGTTCAAGAATTGACATAAAATGTGCATTTTTGGTTGGTTTGGTCCATTTTCAGCTAAAGTAATTTATCGTCATAATTTTACAAAATGTTCATTTGGTGCTTTACTATACTTTGAATTTCAATATTTTGATTCTCTTATTTTTTCGCAGAATGATTACGCAAAACAAATTGGTGTCGACAAGCAGCTGCCATGCGACAAACTTGTCTCAGTCTAGAATATCTGGAAATCTGCCGATTGAACTCACCCTAGAGATTTCTCTAAGTTTCTGGAAGGACAGTTGTGTTTACACACATCATAGTACTATTGTTTTTATTAACATTTTAACACAGTAACACTGTAAAAATATTAGAAAGTTAAACAGAGGCTGGTGGTGGAGCGAAGTGTCAAGTAATGGTTGATGCTTGACAGGTGGGTTAGTGGGTGGAGTTTACTTATATATGCAAGAGCCAAAACCACTTGTGCTGTGTCGACTGGTTCTGTGTTTTCTGTGAGACGGGGTGAGCTTTGAACAGGTTGGGACCAACCGACTGACCCCTACATGACTCAAGTTAATGTGAAAGTTAAAAACTATGAAAAAGTACAAAAGAAAAGCCTGTTGTGACATTCTAAGCAATAATTATGATTTTTCTTTTTAAAAGAAACATGATCTGATATTGTGTCTGCAGATCTAAAAACAAATACAAACCTTAATTTAAGCTGAGATCCTTTTTGAAATAGATGAGATTTCACATGTCAACTGACTTATTTAACCCTCTCAGGCCCTGTCCACACGTAGCCAGGGATCTGCCAAAACGTAGATATTTTTCTACGTTTTGGCCTGTCATCCACACGAAAACTGAGTTTTTTCACACGAAAACGGATCTTTTTAAAAACTCTGGCCAAAGTGAAGATCTGCGTTTTCTCCGTTTTGGGTGTCTGCGTGTGGACAGACAAAACCGGGAGTTTTAAGGTCCGCAACGTCACTTTCCGCGACAAAAAATGCTGACATCACGTGTGCGACCTGTGTTTACACTAGCCGGCATCATGGATGCCTCAGAGCTGCGCTCGCTTTATCAGTTGTCCAAGCGCTTTTTGCTTGTTTGTTTTTGCAAGCGGAATTACTGCTCCTTGCAGAAGACCACAGACGAAGGACGAGGTTAAGAATGGGGGAAGTACTGCCACCTACAGGTCTGGCATGTCCTTAACAACGTATTTCTCCGGGTACGTGTGGACAGAGTTTTTTTTTTTAAACGAGGTGGTGTGGATGCAACTTTTTGGAGGGGCGGATATTCGTTTTAAAAAAAAACCCGGCTACGTGTGGACTAGGCCTCAGTCTCAAAATAAGTTTTGATAAAAGGATGAACAACTAAGTCCTTCAGAGGTACTTCTGAGTTAAAGAAAATGCTCATGAAATACGTATGTGGAGTAACCAGGTAGGTAGGTTTTATCGTTGCAAATCTACAACGCCTGCCTCCAGAGTTTTAACCTTCTCCTGCGTAGATTTTCAACAGCTATGTGTGGGTGCTGAGGCTATACTTGCACACATAACCCTCCACATTAGACTGGTAATGCATAGAGCAGGGGCATTCAGTTCCAGGCCTGGAGGGCCGGTGTCGATACAGGATCTGCTTGGGTGCAGGATCGGCTCGGGGTCCTTCGACTGCCGATGACGTCACATTACTGCAAATCTAGTTGGCTTTCACACACATTTTGGAACGACATCAGCAGTTTTGTTAATAAATTCTTGTTTGTTAACACCTAAATATTTTCTTTATAATTGTAATTCGTTAATAAAACACCATCTTTGTTTTGTAAAGAATGTGAAACTGCATAACACCAACATCGGGCTGACAAAAAATAGAACATTTCTGATATGTGAAGGCGTATCTGTTAGTATTAATGTGGAGCTCGTCTGTATATTTCCTTAGTTGTTATCGAAATACATTCTTTGACTCAAAATGTTGCTTGGTGTCTTTCAATAAAGTTCTTATATTTTATTTTGCCCCATTTCATCAACATCAAGAGCTTTTGAGGGTCATTTGCTTATATTTTACATTTCCTTTAGAAATTCAAACATCTTTTCTCCAGAATGTGTTGATTTTTGGACTACAGGACTACAACCGCTAAGACTACGACCGCAAATTTGTTGTGACCAGTCAAAATCATAACTTGATAACGTCACTTCCGTAAGCTTCATGTTTAGCCAATCAACTACTTTGACGTGATCGGCAGTCGAAGGACCCCGAGCCGATCCTGCACCCGAGCAGATCCTGTACCGACACCGGTATCCACCAGGTTTTAGTTAAGCCTGTTTCAGCTCACCTGATTTCAATCAGCAGGTGATTAACAGGCTTCTGCAGACCCTTATGAGCTGCTGCACAGGTGATTCAACCACTGAATCAAGTGTTTTTGAGCAGAGAAACCACTAAAACGTGCTGGATACCGGCCATCCAGGAGCGGAATTGAATACACCCGGTATAGAGTATCAGTAACGTTCTTGTAATCATAACCTCATAATATGTTTAGTTATTGCTTTCTTTAAACATTTCTGAGTCCAAAACTATTAAGAATGTGTTTTAAAAATGTTATCTTTTAATTCGAGCTAAATGGAAACACTTTATGTGGGAACACGTTACAAAACAGACTGGACTTTTCCTGATTGTGGCGATGCCGTTGCTGTATTAGTTCTCATTATACTGATCGTTTTAATCAATGATAATCATTGAAACTTAGCAGCAGAATAGAATTCTGTTTTATTGTCTTTTGTTTTATTGTAAGGCTGTAAAAAGCTATTTTCAATAAAACCACAAGAAATCAAAACATTTTTCTTGTTTTTTTTTTTGTTTTGTTTTGTTTTTTGTCCTTCTGTGATTTCTACCGACCACTAGGGAGGCCAATTACGGGTGAAACTGAAAAAGTTAGAATATGGTGCAAAAGTCCATTTATTTTAGTGATACAACTTAGAATGAGACCTTAGGAGCACTTTGCTAGCTTAGAAATCTAGACAGACAGTTGAAGAAGCAAAGTGATTTTGCTTTGCGTGTCGCTTTAGCCATGCTCTGTCAGTGCACCCCAGGCAGCTGTAGCTACATTGTAGCTCATCATCACCAGCTTATAAATGTGTATGTGGATGGGTGGATGACGGATTGTGTTGTGAAGTGCCTTGGGGGGTTGTAGAATCCTAAGGAGGCGCTATACAAATATAGGCCATTTACCTTTTATTTAGAGAAAGGATGTGTTGGTGTCTTTGTGGACAGTGGACTGCCCCGTTGACTGACACCTGTAGCGCTGAGTATTTCATGCCCGTTGTCCAATAGAAACAGTTTGAAACACAACCGTATATCTTGCCCCACGACTGAGATCTGTCAATGGGTTTTGGCCAAACTCTTAATTTCACATAAATAAGATGGCTGTGAGGATCTGCTCCACCCCCTCTGACACTTGGGGTGTTTCTCAATGACAAGAAACCTTGCCTTGATGTCTTGGCCCCGCCTCGGTTGCCTAGGAGATACGTCATCAGGATCTACCAAGACATGTTCCAATATTCATGTTCTACCGAGGCGTCTGTTCTCAGTTTGTTAGCCATTTACCTAGCTGAGCAATGGTACATGTGAGGTGCCTTGTAGCCTGGCCTTGGCCAAAAATTACCCAGAATACACCGCTGTATTTCAAAAGGATGGTGGATCAGAAGCCGGCAGCTACTTCTGGGGCCAATTTCATGTTTAAATGTAAGTCAACTAATAGTAGCTATCAGGCTGACATCTAAACAGTTTTTTTTTAGATCCAAAGAAGTTATCTATGGTTGGTTAGTTGCTTAGTAGTTGCAGCATCGGTGGCTAGCGGGTAGTAACTCGCTTACATATTTAAGTTAACCATTATATACACAATTCAAAAAGTAAAAGGCTCGTTATACAATTATATTGAAACTTATACGTGTAAAATATAATGTTACGTCTCGTGTCATGTTGCAGAAGCTGTGGTCATGTGATGTAAGTCTGTTCCTTTTAACCGTTTTCTTTGACCAAGGAAGGACAGTGTCATCGTAAGTAAGGTACCTTCTTCTTCAATGAAAAAAAGGCAGGCTGGATGCCAAAAAGGCGCATTGCTGCCACAACAACCTCCACAGCCTAACCAACACAACCTGTCGCGCTCAACAAACATGAACCTTCCCGCACCTGCGCACTTGCAGGTCTAACACCAACACAACCCTCCACCAGCGCATTCCCCTGTGAACACACACACTCACACAACCCCGTAAGAAAACTTACCCCACTACCACCAACACTCCCACACCTCCTCCAGCACCCATATCCTTCACCAAGGTTGTCCCATGACCCGCAACAGACCCCTCAATCCCGCGCGAACACGCAGTCCCCCATTCCTCCTCAGGGGATACGTCACAAAACCCCAACAAGGTCTCCGTATCAACAATCATCTCACGAGCAACATCCAACTTGTTGGTCGCCACATGTTTCACCCTCCACAAGACCTCTACCAGAAAGGCCAAAAACCACACCTGCCCCCCTCATCCACACCACCAGCCGACAGAGGCCCGGACCCCAACACAACACCACTCTTAACCCCCACATGACGCACTGCCTCCCCATAAGATATCTTATGCTCCGCCTGAAACCTCTCCGCCTCCATCACTAACCTATATGCCACACAACCCCTATAAGCAGCCTGATGGGCCCCACCACAATTACACCAGTGGAGCGGCAGATCACATCGCTTGCCCTCATGAGCACCCTCGCACCGCCGACACCTCACACCCACCACACAGGCACCAGCCACATGCCCAAAGCCTTGACACCTGAAGCACCTCAAGGGAGGTTCCTCAAATGCCCAGACCGAGTAGCTGAGAAAGACCAACATGACACGGCCAGGAAGCTCCACCGCGTCAAAAGTAATCAACAGCGGTGTGGAATCACGAGCGTCAAACCCCAGATGCCAAACAGCCACCACCGTCACCCAACTTGAAGTCAAACATATCAGACTTAGAAACGCTATTCAACATGCCACATATCACCCGCCGCATACCACCCGCTTAACCAAAGCGACGCAGAAACAGTCACTCCCACCTCCATAAACGCCTCAAGTCTCAGTGCCTTGAGGCACTTGGCCCAAGTCCAACAAACCACCGTCAACAGTCCATGAAACACAACAGTAGCATCCAGCATATCCCCTTTCACCATACTCAGCTCCCTGGTTACCACAAAAGGGTTGGAGGTCGCGAAACGCGCACCAGCCACCGCCCTGATGCGGACCACACGCTGCCCTCCACAAGCCTCTGCTGCTTCACCTGCCCGTTCCCAGTTACCGTCCGAGGCATCACAGCTACCCCCACGGCCCCTCTTGCCAGCCCCGACCCAGCCGAATAATCGGCCGTACCGGCCTTTCCAGCTTCCTTCTTCCCCATTCACCACCCCAAACTAAGCCGCCACAGAGCGAAGTTGAGCCGCCGTCTTACTGGGCCTGTACAGGCCATTGGCCGACCACCCAAACAACCTCCACAGCCAACCCTGCAGACAACTCATACAGATCAACAAGCTAACTTTGCCCCTGAGGTTCATCTCACACCGCAGCGCCTGACTGAGAAACACCCTGGGTCTTGTTCTCCCCTCATTAGTTGTTTATTGGACTCACCTGCCCCTTTTTTAACCTACCCATGTGTTCCTGATTATCCTTGTTTATTTATACCCCCAGTTATTCACTTGTCAATTGTAGTGTTTTTGCTATGTTTCATTGCTCCTGGCTGTGTTATCCTATATGCTGTTTTTCATTAAAGCTGTGTTTTACCTGCTTTGATGTTTTTGCCTCCCGGTCAAGCTCCACCAAACATGGGTCCTCCACCAGCTCCACCGCATCGTGACAATGACTTGCCAGGCTTACCCTTGTTGTAGATTCATTAGCTGATTAGTGTGTGACGCTTTGAGTCTAGAATATTGAGCCTGTACACAATATTCTAATTTTGAGATTTTGAATGTGGGGTTTTCATAAGCTGTAAGCCATAATCATCACAATTATAACAAATACAGACTCGGAATATCTGTCACATTGATCGCTTTTGAGTTAACTTACTGAAATAAACAGTATCATTTTGTAATTTTTTGAGTTTCACCTGTAAGGTCATAAACTAATTATACAGAATATTTACAGTCAAGTTTAGATGTTTAGATATGCTCTCTTCAGTTTTTGACTTTTGCTGTTGTTTAAAACATCGAAGGCTGAAAGGCTGTGTTGGTTTGACTCTGAAGTACTAATTATATGTAAAAGTTTAGCCATTTTTATTGTACCCTTTAAAACATTGTTAATGTTTTAGTACCCTTTCTACTGATTTAGTTTAATTGATAGTTTCCTTATTCAGCTGGATCCAGACAACATGCCGTATTGACCCGAATAAAGGACCAGGTATTTTTTTCATTGAAAATCATTTTAAAAGTGGGGTCATCTTATAAATGGGGCGTCCTATATTCGGGTCAATATAGCATGCAAACACATTTAAAATGAGTATACTGGGATATTTTGTCCTTTTTTGCTGATTTCCTAAAGGTTCTTCTACTGGCGTGCATAAAAGAGTTGTCACCACTAGGTGGCAGCATGCTAAAAGAATACAGCTAGAACTATATCATCTACCAAATAAAATGATCCGTTTTTCAAATAATGTGTGTGTGTCTGTCATCATTTTTTATTTAACTTTATTGTTTGCAGAGATAACCTTTTACCCACATTGTCCCCAAAAATGTGAAAATGCTTGAATTTGAAGGTTCTGAAGCTGTTGTATCAGTTGATTTTTATTCCATAACATTTCCATTTATTTATTTACTTATATTTCTAGAGGATGAACCCCCTTGAGATGCATCATCTCATTTTCAAGGGGGCCCTGCTTTGAAACACCAAAACAATAAAAGATAGCAAGACTTTCAGTGGCATACGCCAAAACTAACTGATACAAACAAACCAAATTAATTAAACGAGAGAAAAAATAAATAAACACCTCGCTTTGACAACACGATTATGTAACATCAAGTGCCAAACTCAAAAACAATTACAGATGTAAGAAGATGCGATATGTTAATAGACAGAATTTTTGAATCGTCGAAAATAAGTAATTGTATCCCAGAGGGAGCCTGGATTGTTTTAGAAACAATCACCAGTGTAAGGTGCAGTCAAACTTTAAGATGTGCTTGGATTTTTAGTTTGGCAATAAAACTCAAGAGCCCTGCTTATTCTACATGAGGGATAATAAATCCAAGAGAAAGGGTTAAAATGAAGTCAACTGGACTTCTTTGGTTTCTTGAAGATGTTTCACTCCTCATCCCAGGAACTTTGTAAATTCTGACTGGAATAAGTGAGAGCCAAACTTATAAGCTGTAGCTGTCTGTTGTTGTTTATCAAGCAGAAACGACTCTGAATACCCCTCCTCTCTACCCCTTGATGAGGCCTTAGCCTTTAATGTGATGGAGTCGTGCTGATTAGATTCAGGAAGGTGTGACCTAGACTGAAACTGCTTAGGAATGAGATTCAAATCTGCATCATAGGTACTGGAAAGGTGAAATCTAAGCCCCTGGGCTTTTCACTTTTGACATAAATAGCTTCTTCTACTCCTCTTGCAAACCATCTATCTTCTCTGTCCAGAATGTGGACTTTGTCAGCTTCAAAGGTGTGTCCCTTGTCCTTCAGGTGTAGGTGGACTGCAGAGTCTTGACCTGAAGACGTGGCTCTCCTGTGTTGTGCCATGCTCTTGTGTAATTGTTGTTTAGTTTCCCCGATCTAATGATCTGGACAGTCCTCACATTGGACTGCATAATGCCACTGAG